GATGTGAGTACCAAGTGTCAGTTCTTAAACATCCAACGAACATAATTCAGGTTCAGTTTCAGTATCAATGTACGGGAGGTTTGATATTGGGACCAATTCAATTCCATGGCCCTCGATATCATCCCATATATGAGACCAAATTTGGTGAGTGAGTTGGACTTCCTCTGACCGGCATAGTGCAAATTGTTCATGCAGGGGTTGAGAATAAGCAACAGCGATCTGTCCCACTTGGCGAAATGCCTTGTTACTACGACGTTGATGACATCCTCATGGAGGAGGAGGTAACCATGCTCGTGTTATCCTCTGCCCCATTTATGATTGTACAAATGACATGAATACTCTGCTGTAACTGCAGCTTATTTCGGTTGTTTTCCAAGTAACTGCAAATGGCGTTGGTATGCTAGATCCGGGCGCCGAGAGAAACAGTGTAAGCATCTGTCCAATGGCATTTGTGCATATATGTTTAACTGCTGTTGATGGGCAACTGCTGCCAATTCTTTCTCTGATCTGTTTGTTCTTGAGCAAATTACTTATGAAATACACACACTAGTTAAATGATATTTGCCTGAGATAGACGCATCGTACATTCTTGCTCATTTTAGTTTGCAAAACCGATATGGAACGCTAGGTGCTTTCTTGTTTCCCTGTGTGCCATGTTTCTTGGTGAACACTAACTGGGAGTTAGATGCTTTGTTTTTGAGCACCTTTTCTTGCTACCATGGAAAATGAAATGGCGTATTTTACCTGGTTCCAACAAAAAGAGAAATGATCTTATTCTTTATGTTCAGGTTGAAAAGGGTGCTAAGGTAGACCTTCCATTTTGGCTTGCTCATGGGATGCTGTCTCTGGAACAAGCGGTGTCGATAAATGTACCTCCTTGCTTCACCCAGAAGTAGGTTTCTTTGTATTCTGTTTTGCATCTTTAGAAATTCTTAAGAGGGACATCAAAATATACTGTATGCAGTAGTATGTAGTTATCGTTCTCATTTCAACATATTTACACATACTTTGCTTGCAGAACTCGGAAGGAGATCCAAGCTGATGCAGCCTGTGTTGATTTGAGGGTTCGGTGCCCTTACTTTTATGAGCTAGGATGCAAGATTGTTCCTCTGTAAGTTCTGAACGACCTCAGTTACACATTGTACTATTTTATTTCCTTTTTCTTCCATCTCATTACCTTTCTCTATGCAATCTTAAATTTGTAAATTCTCATTAAAATGCTTCTATAACATCTTTGGTAGAAATACATTACCCACTCCATTGCTTTGCAGAATTTTGATGAGCCTTAGACATGTTATAGTCTCAGTTACAATAACTGGGCAATTGTGTAGGCATACAACACCACAGTACATTATCCTTTCTTCATGTATTCTGTTCTTGTAAAACTTGGAATGCTTCCATCTCCATGAGCAAGATAGTTTCAATCATCAGTCATATATTAAGTTAAAATAGGAGGAACTTCTGTAAGTTCAAGTAGCTGTAATCTTGGGGAGAAGATGCAGTTGATACTATGAGTTGATTTCTTGTGAACAGAAATGCAATCATATGGCTTTCTTTTCTGAGGGCCCAGGCTAAAACATGCTTTTAACCACACTCGCAGTGTATCTACCATCTCAGTTTAGCGAAACTATGTTCAAACTGGTGTTATACTGTTCTAATTTCGCATTTTAGCAAGCTCCCCTCTGTCCACTCCAACAAATGGTTTAATAAGTCATAAGGAGACATGCTTTCTTGCTTTATTTTTTTAGTGTCAGTTTTGATTCTAACAAGATTCAAATGAACCGCACCTTCTTAAAATCCAATTGATTGCTGTTGGTCCTCTTCTTTCATTTTAAGAAGGTATTATATGGCCGCCTTGAAATGATCAAATATATTCCCTGCTGATTCTACCATTGTTGCCAAGACCAAACTATCATTCTAGGAAATTTAATCATACACCTGACAAATGACCTCTGATGCCACCACGTCAATTTGTGCTTGTAACACGTGTTGATTCTATGTTGACATATGATGATATGAACAGAATACACCATAACTAAGTCTTCCTGAATAAATAAGTTATAATCATTTGAGGTCTGTCCCTTTTCAAAGGCATACTCTGTACTCTGCACTTAATGAGGACAAGAGCTGGTTGCAATCATCGTAATCTGAACAATTCAGACATAGATCTCATTTGTCTTTTGCCTTTAATTTAGTGTCCCCTAGAACAGAAATAATGAAATGTTTAGTAGCCACCTATAGCACATGTTGTGAGCAACTGTGTGAACTTGTAGAGGTAGCACTTGACAATGAATTGGTTATACTCTTGAGTGATCCTAATTGGGATTTGAGTTTCTTATGATGGTTCATGTGATTTGGTTGAAAAGGTGTAACCATTCTCAGATTTGTTATGATCTATGCCAATTACAGTGCCAATGTGTCATTCCATGGCATGCATTATGTGACACATTCTTTTGTGGTCGGTTTAGAGGTCTGGATATCCTTGTCAAATTGGCCCAACCCATCTGGTTACTGTCCACAATCAGTAACCGATTGTCAGTTCTAAGACCCCTGTAGTTACTGCTGTAGTCGCAATTTTGTCAGTTCTGTGTTGCCTTTGTAGTTTGTATACTGAAGTTAGGGATCCCATGAAGTTATTATGTAGTGATGTCTGGGCACCTTATATATATATTTGCTCCTTAACGCATATCATTTTACTATTTTGAGGCAACTTTGCACCATTTCCCCCTTTTGTCTATTTTCAAAGCCATTTATTAGTATGGACTAGACTGTGTCTAGCACAAAACTCCAAAAGGTAATAAGTGGTGTGATAGAGGGGGAATTCGGTCATTAACCCCACTTTTGCTGGTACTATGATAATTCGTTCTTACATCGTAATGGATTATTTCCTCCTTTCTTTCGCACTCGATCTTTTGCCCTCCAGCGGCCTGCACCCACACTCAGCAGTGAACTAGGAGTAGGACTGAAGAACATTTCTGCATATCAGATTTCAGAATTCAGCCCTCTAGCAGCCTGCACCCACACTCAGCAGTGAACTAGGAGTAGGACTGGAGAACGTTTCTGCATTTCAGATTTCAGATTTCAGAACATAATACGTCCGACATGGACTAGGAGTAGGAATTCAGAATTCAGGACACGGTTTCCATCAATATTTAATGCTGTTAGCCTGATAAGTCGAGTTGAAGATGTCTGGCTGAGAATCAAGTGCTGACTCGTAAACTAGTCGAGTCTCTTAATCATTGGGATGAGATATGGTGCATGTGTACAGGAATGGATCCAGTAATGAGTAGGAATGTCCAAACAGGGGCGAATGCGCCTTAGGTGTCTAGACGCTTAACCAGAATATTGGCACACATAGTTGATGTATTGGAACATTTCAGATAACCGAATGACTAATAAAAATTTGAGGTTGAATCACGACTGCTGCTCAATTTTTTATTTGAGTTACTATAATGGTCAGACTAAATTATATTCCTGACAGATTTATTATGTTTGAATCGACAGGGTGGGTGACAAGAGCATCGGCCAGTTCTTGCGCTACGCGTTCACCAGTAGGTACAAGGAGGTACTAAGCAAGGCACACAGCTCTTCGACAATGACAGTGCCCAAGTTCGCAACACGTCTTACAAAAGAAGAGGCTCAAGGTACAGACAGATCTCCTCTGCACTTCCCTTTGTTTCCCCCTACCATATCAACTACTCTAAGTTGGGTTAACTTTTTTCTTTTTCTGCCTTGTGAAGTGTTTGAATCTGCTAGGGAATCGATGTCCGCCTTCAGGAAGTGGCGCGTCGGAGGTGCGAGGCTGCAGAAGGCGTCCATTCTTGGAAGGAAGAGGAAGACAAAGCTGCCCGACGATCCTTCGACGCCCTGAACCGTCTTGACCGTGAAGCGGAGTACTCCGGCAGGAGAGCTGATGCATGCGCACTGATTGATCCGGTGCTGTAGTAAGGAACGAAAAAGGCAATTCTGACCCGTGAATGATCAGACATTCATGTATTTCAATCTGGTGCACCTGATGTGTTAGATGCTTATTGACTGCAATTTTCGAGGAGGTTTTGCTTGCTACCAATCAATGCAAAACATTTTAGATGCACTCATATTGAACTACTTGTGGTATCTCTTTTAATAACGGGTTGTGTCTTACTCTGCAAACAAACTTTCTGCGTAGATAAGCAAGAGGATAGGAAAAGCAAAAGCATATTTGAAAAACCCTTGTGGTGCAATGCCATTTGGTGGTGATTCATTGTGAGTTAGATATACTTAGGGGGTGCTCGTAAATTGAAACCGGAAAGTCCCTTTTTAGCACGATGCTGCTACAATCGGAAGGAAGGAAACATGATATATGTACTCCCAGTGTGAATATAACCAATAGAATTATCCGCATCATCAAACAATTAAAGTCCACCCAAAAGCTACCTTTCCTTTTTCTTTTCCAGTGTGAATATAACCAGAACAACTTTTGTATTAAAAGTACAAAAAGTGTGTGCTAAAAGTTCTTGAAATTGGAGCAGGATATCTCTGAACTCTGATTAAATTCGGATGTTTCTGCAATTACGTTTGCCAACTGGATGGAATGCAAACTGTGTGGAGTACTCAAATTTGGACCACACCGGCGACCCTCTTCTCCATCACTGCTGCTGCTGGTGCTCTGTGGTAGCGCCAGCGTGTCTGCGTCGTTTACTCGCATCAATGGATCAGTTACAGACTTGTACTGTACAGGCGCAGCCAAATAACTTGCTGGATCCATACTCGCGATCACCTTATTTATCACGAAAATAAACAGCAAGCCCAAGTTCAGAAATCTTGAAATCTCAAAGATTGCTTTATCAGATCGAAGATATGCCATTTATGATCGATGATTTTGCGCCAGAAAGAAACCATCTTCTCTTCTTCTACAGACAGAAGAAGCACATCTGTCCACTAATCTTAACAATGCCCATAATAACTTGAGCCTAATCAAATAATCCTCCCTAAGATCGATCCTAAGCAACGACAGGAACTCAGAACCCAACGACGAGCAGCGCTCCGAGGAGAGCGCCGAGGACCACGGAGCCGCTGCCGGACGCCGTCCTCCACGCGGCGCCAGTGGCCGGCGCGGGCGCGGGCGCGTGGGCGGGCGCCTCCACGAGCCCCGCGGAGGAGGAGGGGGAGTGCGCGGGGGCCGGCGCGGCAGGCGGGACCCGGCTGCCGTGCTTCTCCGACATGACGAGGACGATGACGCGCTCGCCCTTCTGGCAGTTCCCGGGGGCGCCGCTGATGAAGTAGCGGAAGCGGGCGCCCTTGGGCGGCAGCGGCACGACCGCGCCGCTGGCCTTGTAGGTGGCGATGGGGCTGGCCGTGTTGCACCGGTCGTAGTCCGCCCGCGTCACCTCCAGCACCGAGTCCGTCGCCGCGTCGAACTTGAACACTGCGTGCGCGCGCGGGGATCCAAAGAAATCAATCGTAAGAAATCAAGAAGCAGATCGAGGAGAGTAAACAAGGATGTGCGTGTGCGGCGTGGTTTGTTACCGAGGTTGTCGCCGACGTGGAAGCGGGCTTTCCCGGCCCAGTCGTTGAGCGCGTCGGGCTGCGCCGGGGGCGGCACCCTCCAGGCGCCGTCCTTGCCGCCGCCCACGACGTGGTCCCTGGCGTCGGAGCCGGCCGCGAGGGCGAGGGCGACGAGGGAGCAGAGGAGGAGCGCCCTGGACGCCATCGGAGGAGGCCGGGATGGATCGGCGGGTTGAGGCGCGCGGCGAGGAGAGGCGAGCTGGGGGAGCAGGTGTTTGGTGGTGGCTGGTGCTTGGTGTGGTCGGGAGGGATGGGTGCGGCGGAGGGGCGGGGCTTAAGTAGGCGGCGGGCGGGTGGTCAAAGTAGCCGTTGGATTCGAACGTTCGGGAGAGCCGCGGCGGGCGGCGGCGGCAGCTGGCGAAGCGATCTTCTGTTTTGGAGTGTACCGTTGCCCTCTCCTCGCCCCGAGAAAGAGTCGACGGGAAGCAAGCAACGGATGGACGCCTGGGCCGGGACGCGTCGTGGGGCCCACGGGCATTCAGAGCCCAAACGCCAGCGAGAACAACCACACTGGCTTTTAGAAGTGCCGAGTGAGCCATCCATGCAACACCATTGAATCTTCTCAAAAGATAATAAATAAATAAATAAATAACTAACACCATTGAAAGTCTGAGGATTCAAGTTCAAACAAGAATGACCACTGCTAGGCCCCGGTCGACTCGCCTGTTGACCCTCAAAAGTGGCACGATTATAAATAGTAGCTTAAAGCTATGTCAAGATTAATTCAAGCTTATTATTGAAAGTCACCATGAGATGGCTCTTTTTGAGAAGATCAAGATGGATATGAAGATGGTCTAGAACGGAGCTCGAATGCAAAAGTCATGACAAATTTAGAGATGCTTATGTTGACACCATTAAAGAATGGCCTGAAACCCAATTAAAATGACTTCAAATGGAAAAAGTTTCAACATGAAAGTTATGCGTCTCGTCCAAACGGTTGATTTTGATATAAAAAACGTTTCAATCGGAGTTTGCATGCAAAAGTTACAGCCGAAAATGCACGACTGCATCAGGATGGCCGGACACTCCGAGGATGATCATCAGGGTTTTGGATTTCTCCGGGTTTTGGATTTTTCTGCCGCAGACTTCGGAAAACAGCCGAAAACTGGCTTCTGATCAAAAAATGTTCAACATGAAAGTTGTTCGTCTCGTCGAAATGGTCAAGATTGCTTTTGGGCGCGTTTTCATCCGAGGTCGTTTACTGCCTCAAATGTAAACCGAACACTTTTGGAAAGTTTGAATTTCGAATTTGACTAGGGTTTTGGACGTAGATCCAAGCCTTTTCCTTGCACAAGAAGTCCAGCCGCCTCTTATATACATAAGTGGTGATGGCCGATTGAACAACACACAATCGAACAAACACATCTACCACTTTTACCTTTACTTTTATCTTCTCCCTTGTTCTTCTTCTTCCTCGTTCTTCGTTCGTTCTTCTCGTTGCAGGGCGGAGAACCTCGAGGCCCTAGGGCGATCAGGTCGACCTAGGGCAGCCCATAGCCGCCGCGCGCCCTGACGGGGTCCTTCCCGGGCGTGTGAGGTTTCAGGTCCTGAAAAGCACCCGTCGGATTGCTTGCGTACCTCGCTTCCGGACGGGTCTCCTTCGACGTGAGCTGCGGTGCACCATCCCCGGCGTTGGAGGTACACGGTGACGTGTTCGTGTGCGAATACACTTTTTGGCGACTCCGTTGGGGACGAAGCTTTGAACGGTCTCCAGCCCGTTCTTGCTACGAAGAAATCGCCATCTAGGTTTGCAACCTACAAAGGTAATATGAATACCCAATTCCCTATTGTAGATGCAAATAATTCATATGGTGTTACTAGATCATCCAATGAGTATGCTCTATCGGCCAGTCCTAGTTTGTTCAATCATGCATCTACTGACGTGCATAGGCCAATTCAAAGTAATTTACATGTTTCAACTTCTTATGATACTAGTAACATACAACATATGTATCCTAACTCTCATGCATCGGCAACCCCACAAATCCATATGTCGATGAACAACATGATGGGTTTGGTTAATCAATTTGAAACACCTCATGTTGGAATTTCCAATGCCATGCAAGAAAGTGTTTCACCCTTTTATTCATCAGCAAGTAATGTGCAATATACTAATCCAACCATGCCGATGAATGAGAGAATTGACCATGCTACTACTAGCTATTCGGCCAGTTACTCTCAACCGTCATATGCTACACCTCATGTTAGTAATTTTTCGGCACCATACACAAGTGTAGATGCTCATAATTCGGCTTCACACCTTTCTGGTCATAGCCGAATAAATGTAAATTTTATAGGAGTGGTTGTGCCAAATATTGTAGAAGATGAGGTAGTGGTGGCTGCATTGAAGAGTTTAGCCCAGAATAAGAGGATTAGTGCTATTTGCCTTGAACAACATGAAAAAGGGCTATTTCTTGATTATGCCGCAATAAAAGCTAGAGTTTTGCAAGAAGATGAATCTTTGCCAATTGATAAAATTGGCGAGAAAAAAATATGGTTTTACAACAATACATATGCCTTCACCTAGTACTACATCATATTATACACCCCCACACTATTGCAAAATTTCGGCAACACCCGGGTGTCATTGCCGAAAGAATCTAAAAACATCGGGGGGCAATCATATCCGAAGTGGGATGAAATTGAGAAAAGCTTAAAGCCAACTTTGCCGCTCACCGCCACAAACACATAGAAAAAGAATTGGCTCAGATAAAAGAAGCATTGCCAATTGATAGTATCAATGAAAAGATGGATGATTTGGAACTTGAAAGTGCTTCGGTTGAAAAATCCGAATCAAGTAGTATATATTCCGAATCCATCACATCCAAAGAGGCAAGCACTATTAAGAAAGGGCATGACAAGCATGGCAAAACAACCATGCTTGATTTTTCTGAAGTTAATGGAACCTACTTCCTGCCCTATGAGTTCCATGCCATAGAAATTGACAAGCCTCAAGGACAAGAGCAAGTAGCCAAACAAAGTTCGGTTGATAAGGATCTTCAAGGTAATGGTGCACGGAATAAAGAAAAAGATGATGAAAAGGCGTTGGAGAGTCATCCAAAGACGAAGCTAGATATTGTTCAAGTCACACCACCATCATGCTCTCCCAACGTATTTGAAGAGGTATGCGTAGCGAGTAATTTACCTATTTTCAGATTTGGTCGCAACTTCATTATTGATGCATCTATAAGAAATATTCTCATAAGTAATTTTGAAAGACCAATGAAAAAGGGTAATTTACTTGTTAGCAATAAAATTGTTATGGAACGTATCGGTCAACCCATTGCGCCATTTATAAAGACCGATAATGACTTATTGTTACAGCCAAAACTTTCCCCGTTGCTTTATCTAAAGTTCATATCTAGTTGGGTAGCTTTGCTTATTTCGTACTTGGATTGCACTTGGTCTCAATTGAGACATGTATATTCTAAATATCTTCGTTTCAGAAATTTAAAGCCAAGGTTAAATTCTATTGAGAAAACCGATGCTAATATAATATCTTATCAAAGACATCGGAGATAGAGCGGAAAACACAATGCATAGCCGAATGGGGAGATTCCAAATCTGAACCATTCGTTTGCTTATCTCCAAAGCCGTTCACACAGCAAGATCGGCTAGAAAACAAGAAGTATACCTTCAATTCAAGCATGTGTGATCAAATATTTGATTTGTTGCTGAAAAATAATTACATTACAATTCTTGATCACCATGTTAAGCTATCAATCCAAGGACGAATGTATTGTAAGTTGCATGATTCGTCCAAGCATAATTTTGAGGATTGCAACATGTTTATAATTAAATCAGCCATTGATAAAGGACGGTTGAAATTTGTTGAGACACCAAGGGATGAACAGTCTATTCGGATTGGTACCGATGGCAGAAAGTTTTTGCATCGGCTGCTTCAAGCCGATCCACTTAAAGAGAAGGTAAAAACTGCAGGTGATGAGATCAAGCTTTCAAGTAAAGAAATTGTTGAAGAGCATAATGACCATAATATTGAGGGCGAGAATTCCATCGTAGCTATAATGGAGACGCCAAGGACTGGGGGCAACAAGCAAATCCAATGATCGATGAAAACAAACCAAAAAAAACAAAGGCCGAAATAAGCGCAAGTGTAAGAGATCAAAAATCACCTTCACTGAACTACTGGATAAATATAAAAAGAAGAGTGAAGAGAAGAATACTTGTCGGCCAAATCATGCAAAGAAACCAAGATCACTGCCAAGGCACAAACCTGAGGATTGGTATTGGCAAAGTGAGAATTTTAATGCAACATATTCATATCCTTATTTTGGGCTGCCAATGCCAATGCCGTGGATGCCTCCCTATGCTCATATAGATCCATATCCATCATGGGACATGTATGATACAAGGGCACATTCTCCATCTTATTTTAGGCCATCTCACCAATATTATGCAGCTCTGAGAAGATCAACATTTAAACAATCACATGTTAAAGACCATTTCAATCATAAGGAATTGGTCCAGAGCTCAAGGAAGAAGAAAGAGGTGGTCAAGCAAGTTTACCGTGTTAAAAGAGATGGTCGTAAGAGTGCAACTTCAGATTTGATCTCAAATGAGAAAGAGCCAATTAAAGTGTTGACATTGGCTACTAAAGGAAATGAGACAAAGTAACTAATTATTGAGAGTCGAAGTGCCAAATCTGAAGAAAAAAAGTTGAGAGTGCACAAGGCCAAAAAGGAATTGCCATTGGTCAAAACAGAATCACAGTCGAGATGCCCGCTCGGCTTATCGTATTGGCAAAAGAAGAAATTACAAAAACTTAGTGCACAATAACTCGAAGAAATGAACATGGCATGGGTTCCCAAAGGAAGTGCTCAAAATAAGAATTATGTGCAAGCTTCCATTACAAGAAGTGCGGCAAAGGTGAAGAAGAAAAAGAGTGAAAACAATGAAGGACCAAGCCGAAGGTTTCAACATCTTTGGTCTACACATTATCCATATTCTTCAACTATGCCATTAACGCCTATGCCATGGAATTCGTCATTAGGTATGATTGGTAATCCTCAATGGGCTTATTTTAATCCATGGATGCAATATAATTTCTTACGGCATGAAAGGGTATTACCAAATCACTATACATTTGGTTAGTTACATTATTGTTGCTAATACAAAGGGACCAGA